ACACACACACACACACACACACACACACACACACACACACACACACACACTTCTTTCAGTCTTGCTCTTCTAGAGAATCCTGACTAATACACAGCACTGGGACAATGTCAATAGGGAAGGACAGAGAAGATAAACAAGTAAAATAAATAAATCTGTTTTCTGTTTCCTAAGTTTTGGCTATTGATTCAATATCAATTAGGCCTGGAGTCTAAACAATGACAAATAGTCACCATTCATTGTGGAGGGGAGAACCAAAATAATATTGTTGAATAATAATAATAGTAATAATTGTTATTATTGTTGTTGTTGAATCTAGGACCTGACATGTGACTGAGCCATAGCCCCAACTAGCCCTGGGCCTTACATTTTAAAGAGTCACTACCTGAAGTATCTTTGGAAGGGCAGAAGTCATTGGAAAGCCAATCTCAGCTGTCTCCTGTGAAATAGGTCAAAACGACCATGAAAGCAGAATGAGAAATTCTCACATGAGCCCTGAATTCCTGATGAAAGAAGAGACCCCTGTGTGAGCCGTGTACCCTTTTTATCCTGATAAAGGAAGCATTGTCATCTTTCAGTCAAAGGGACAGAGGAAAAGACTGAACATAGCAGACAGAGGACCCCAGTCCATCAGCTGGGGATGCTGGCTCGCTCTCCAGCACTGTTTATCCGCCCTTCCCATGTCCAGTGTACAGAACTCCACTCAGGCTGGCCCATTTGTAAGGCTCTTCCTTTCTTATAACAGCTCCCGTGTGTCATATGAAACATATTAAAGCTGTATGTATTTCTGTTATCAGTCTCTCTTATTAGGGTGGCCTGAGCCACAAATTCAGAAAGAGTAGAGGAAATATTGTTTTTCTAATTGTACATTATGTGTTCAAATATGAGTAGGAGAAATGTTAGGAAAGAACATAAATCAAGAAACCTACAAAACTAAAAAAAAAAAAAACTATGTTTTAGCCTTTCTCTCTCTCTCTCTCTCTCTCTCTCTCTCTCTCTCTCTCTATCACGTGTATGAGTGTGTGAGTATGTGTGTGCCCGTGTGTGTTATCTGTGCCTGTGTACATCGATATGTAGATGATAGAGAGTCTCTGCTGTTTTGCTCTATCCCACTGACTTATCTTGAGCCAAGGTCTCTCTCTGAATATGGAGCTGGGCTGGCCATCCACAAGTCCCAGTGATCTCCATCTCTACCTGTCAGGTTGCAGGCACGTGGGGTCACACCCAGGTTTTTTTTTTTTTTATTAATTACACTTTATTCATTTTGTATCCCCCCATAAGCTCCTCCCTCCTCCCCTCCCGATCCCACCCTCCCTCCCCTTTCTGCATGCATGTCACTCCCCAAGTCCATTGGTTTTATATGGGCTTCGAGCTCAGATCCACAGCAAGCACTATCCTTCCTTAACCCACCTCCCTAGCACCTGATATGTGAAAGCAGAAAATGACATTGCCCCTCACTGAAGTCTGCTCATCCTGCTACAAGGGAAAAGCCATGACTTGTGTACACAGTGACAATGCTGGCTTAACCCAGAGCTCTCTGGTTGTGCACTCTCTTTTTTAAATTATTATTTTATTTTTAGTAATTACAGTTTATTCACTTTGTATCCCCCTGTAGCTCCCTCCCTCTTACCCTTCCAACCCCAGCCTCCCTCCCTCTTCTCCACCCATGCCCCTCCCCCAGACCAGGGAGGTCCTTCTTCCTTTCCCTCTGATCCTAGTCTATTAGGAATGGCTGCTTGGCTGCTCCCCCGTCAGGGGGAGGTGATCAAAGAGCAGGCCAATCAGTTCTTGTCAGAGACAGTCCCTGTCCCCATTACTATGGAACCCACTTGGATACTGAACTGCCATGGGCTACCTCTGGGCAGGGGTTCCAGGCCATCTCCATGAGTGGTCCTTGGCTGGAGTATCAGTCTCAGAAAAGACCCCTCTGCCCAGACTTTTTGGATCTGCTGATCTCCTTGTGAAGCTCCTGTCCTCTCTAGGTCTTACTATCTCCCAATTCTTTCATAAGATTCCCTGCAGTCTGCCCAAAGTTTGGCTATGAGTCTCAGCATCTGCCTAGATACCCTGCAGGGTAGAGCCTTTCAGAGACCCTCTGAGATAGGCTCCTGTCCTGTTCCCTGTTTTCTCTCTCCTCTGATATTCATCCTCTTTGCCTTTCTGAATGGAGATTGAGCATCTTAGCCAGAGCACACTCTTATCTCTGAATGCTCAGCGCTGAAATACTTGTGGAGAAGCATCCAGGCTCACTCTGTGACACGTTCCTGTTTCCTTAAGGTCATCATCTCTCACAGAAACTCATTTCACATCTCGTCAGCCACAAGCATGGACTGGGGACGCTGCCTTTAATCTAGCAGAGGTAAGAACACAGGCACAGCGCTAACAGGATAAAGGGCCTGGATTTCCTCCTAATGAGACAAACCTCAAACTATGCCCGTTTCTGGAAATGGAAGAAACTCTCTGCTGCTCTCCACAGAGCACCTGACAGTGACCGTCAGGACACATTTCATGGTATTTTAGGAGCTGGCAGGGCAGTGGACAGGTGTGTTTGCTTTAGGTGTGCAGCCGCTGACTAAGGGATTGGTGAGGTTGGGTGCTTTTACCCTGCATTTGGCAGGACCATTTCACTGAGTGACTGCACTATCAAAAGAATGCCAATGCTTTATACCTCTCAACCAAACGAGAGGATCAAGGGCTTTCCTCTCTCCCTATTAATTGTAAAAATTGGCTCAAGGATGACTGTCATAGTGTGTATGCAGAGACAAGAGAGGAACTAATGAAAGAACGGTATCTGGACCCTTGGGATTACTCAGACCCAACTGTCTGCAATGCAGCACTTATTTTGGGAGTTTCCAAAACAAGGAAGGTAGAAAAAAAAAAAAAAGTCAAGCTGAAACCTCTTCCCCCCAGAATCCAGATAAAAGGAAAGCAGTCCAGAAATATATCAAAGCCTGGACTTGCACATTGTGGCTCAGAGTTATTGCACAGCAGTTGCTGTCACTGCCTGCATTATTTTAACTCCCACCAGTTTGGGGCCCCGCATTTACCCTTCCAGTAAACATCACAGAACTGACGTCCTGAGACTGAAGAACAACACTCCATCTTGAGTTCGTCAGTTTGCACAGGATAAAACACAATGGGCAGGGAGGGGTGGGAGCATTCTCCTGATATGAGAACAGCTTTTATTTTTCCTTTCAGAGCAGTGCGGTGGAGTCAACTATTAGTAAGACCAAGAAAACACATTTTGTGTGGGTGTAAAACCGTAAGTTCTGCCTCTCCGAATCAACTTTGGCTACTGTGCTGCATCCTGTCTCTCCCATGATGCAGGGAGAGTTATACATCAGTGTGGATGAGCCCAGTCTCCCCCACCTCACACCCCCAGAGGTTAGTTACCTAAAACTCAATGTTTCATTCTTTTCACCATCACTGCCACCACCACCACCACCAAAAGCACCTACCCCAAACTAATGTTTTATTTTTTTTTTTAATTTATTTATTTGGACGGGGTCTCATTCTACAGCTCAGGTTAGCCTGGAAATTATTATATAGCCTAGACTGACCTCTAATTTTCAGAAATTCTCCTCCCTCTGCCCTCTGAATGCTGGGATTACAAACCTAACCCACCATGCCCCGCTCCCAAGCATGCTATTCCAGATCTAAAGTCGTATTTCAGAGACTGTCCCTGTGTCCCTTTGTTTTGATGTATATCCACCAAGCACCACTGCCCACTAAAACATCTCTTTAGCACCTGAAGCTGTCCCATCTGCTTCCCATGCTAGTGAAAGCTTTTAAACGCATTGCCATGGCTGCCTCACCTCTGCCTGATCCCGCAGCCGTGGTTCACTCTCTGTGAATCCAGCAGAAAGAGCTTCTCTGCACAGCGTGGCTCGTGAGCCAGTCAGGGAGCTAATGTGTTCTTACAGCCCTGGCTGCTCTGGTGCTCAGGCAGCTGGATTCTCACTATTACAGACATTGCTCTCTCTTTCAATTCGTGTCCCCTGATCACGATTTTTACATTCAATTTTGTACACTTCTTTCACAATCCAAGAGCTAACCCTCCCAGGTAGCAATGAATACAATTTAGAAAAAACAAGCATGTCTAGGAATAAAAACGAAGAATATTTCAACATTTATAGAAGAAGAAGGTCTCTGACAATTTAGATTTGTAAATTTTGCCTTTTAAAAACAAATGGTTCCACTGAAGTAAAATTTAGCCTCTGGTATTTTCTTGCAGTCACCTAGATTTCACAGCTTTAGTCTGTAAATAAACAGCAAATTTTTCTACAAGCCAGATGAAGAGGCTGTGAAAAGACTCTATCGTACATGCAGTTATATAATACAACACACTGTTGTCTACCATATTGTGACGGTTGAGACCAGGGGCCCCTTCTTGAACACGGAATTACCCTTTGTGCCAAGGCACTCAGCTTGGCAGAATTTTAGCTCCCAACCACACCCTGGTCTGGGCACCCACATTTCTTTTTACAGACTTCATTATTTTCACTTTCTTAGTATGACTGTTTGGTCTGCAGGTATGAATGAACATCATTCGTGTGCAGTGGCTGTGGGGGCCAAACAAGGGCACTGGATCCTCTGCAACTAGTGTAAAGGGCAGTTCTGAGCAATCATGTGTGTGCTGAAAACAAACCAGCACCCTCTGCAAGGCCAGCAAGCGCTCTTAACCACTGAGGCATCTCTCCATCCCTTGGACCAACCGTGTTAAGTGATGGGGTCAAGCAGGACCCCGCAGCTGCAAGGTGGCGCGGATAGCGCAGCTGCATTTCCGCAACGGCATGGCATTAGCGACGACCTACCTCGTGATACTTCCTCACGGTCTTCCCTGAGCTGCACATGCAGGACTTCCAGTTGACAGTTCCGCAGCCACAGTTGCCGCCACAGCGCTGCACGAGAAGGCACCGTGGGAAGAAGACCGCATTGGTCAGCTTCAGCTCCTCCCGGAGGTTCACCGAGAGATTCCTGGGAGTGCAGCTGTAACGCTTGACATCCTCATTGAGCCTGTCCAGATCCACTATAGGTAAACACACACGAGAGCGCGTGAGCAGACGCGGCCGTAAGCAAAGATTCTGATCCGAGACAAGCCTCCTGTGGGTGACAAACTTGTCCCTGGGATCTTGCTATGAAGACTACCGTTTAACAAAATCCAGTTTTTCGTTAGATCCTACATCCCCTTCAAAATAGGCTTGGCTCAAATTATCTATAACCTGTGCATACGTCAGACTCTAAAGGCAGGTTTCATGTAGCCCAGGCTTGCACTGAACTTGCTATAAACAGAAAATGACTTTGAGCTCCTGATTAGCTCACCTCCAGAGTGCTGTGATTCCAAGCCTGTGGCACCAGGCCTTGCCTCGGTAACTTAATAAATGATGCAAAAAAGAACAAACAAATAAACAACAAAATGGCTTAGAGGTAAGAAAATGAAACAGTTGACAATTTTAAATAATTGTGTTTATCTTTATCTTTTTTTCATATCCTTTTTTTTTTATTTGCAACAACAGTAAGAATTTTATTGGGAAAGATACAATGCACTTATGAGCCTCAGGAACCAGATTAATAAGGTGGACGATGACGAATCAGTTCTAGATAATTCTTTTAGACAATTTGTTAGCACTATTGTGTTGTCGTAAGAAAAGTTCCGAAACCGACTGTGGTCTCTGTGCTGCATCTTCTAGACTCAGTGTCCTAGGTAGTTGGCCTGGTACAAAGTGAGGGGAGGCTGACTCTTAGAGATGAGAGTGTGTGCGTGTGCGTGGTGTGTGCCTGCGTGAGGTGTGTGTATGTGTGTGTGTGTGTGAAGCAGTGTCTTTCCCCAATGATAGTAATAGTCTTTAGGTAATTATATTGTGACAATAATTGAGCATCTGGACCTAAAAGACTGAGGACCAATTAGGTTTTGTCTTGTTTTGTTTGTTTTTTGCCTTTCACTTCATTACAATAATCAGTTCCCAGTGAAGGGAGGCTTTTAGAATATCATATCCTTTTTTAAAAACTCTTATTTATCTTAAAATTTTTAAAATTATTTTGTTTATTCATTTTACATCCTAATTGCACCCCTTCCCTCTTCTCCTCTCAGTCCCACTCTCCCACCCTATTCCCCCTTACCCCGCTCCCCTTCTCTTCAGATAAGGGAGCCGCTGCTCTGCGTCCCAGCCCACCCCAGGACACCCTTTCACAGCAGTGGAAGCATCCTCTTCCACTGAGGCCAGAAGAAGAAATCAACAGCAGCAGCCCTTCTTGGTTCTAAACACATCCCATTACTTAAACATAATTTGAGTTATACAGGGACAACAGTTGGAGAGTTGCTGTAATGTTATCTAATGCTTTCTGGCACTGAAGTGTTTACAAATAAACAGAACGAGGAAACATGTTTTGCTTTCTGTTTTAATCCCAAAGCCAGTCAAAGCTCTAGGGAGAATGGTGCTGTGGGGTAAACAAAGTTGCATGTTTGCACTGAATCCCAGGTGAAGAGAACAGGTGCATGTGTGTGCAACATATCCCAGG